ATCGTGGTAGTACACGTGGTTGTGCCTGTGAACAAATATGCCGTTGTCTTTTGTAAACCCAAGTGCTGTAGGCCCTGTATGTGCATTCATCACACTAGGGGTTTTGTGATTTTCCCTGCATCTGTCGGCTCCGGTGTTGGTTTTAATATTTTAGCTGTCGCTGACGTGTTTTGCAACATACGCTGTACCAATTGAATACCGTGTATAGGTACGCGCAATGTGGAACGTTGAGTATATTATTCACATGCAAATGCATAATGAATCCATAGTATCGTTCGCATTCGTTCGTTCCTGTCTATCTTAAGCAGTAGCCATATCGGCTAGCTAAGTACCTGAACTCCAAACTCTATGTCGTTAACTTTACACAAAGTTTTAATGTTAACTTTTTGTTTAGTCTCTTGTCGGGTTAGACTATCTGCTGCCACGAGAGACTAAAATACTTGCCAAAGATTGAATCCAATTTTAAAATCCAAGATTCGCCTTTTGTTGTAGGTTACAGCCAGAGCCAAGACGGTCCCTGATTTTTTCCTCCCATTCCTCTGGAATGCAAGGGAGGGGTCTACACGTGGGATGCCGTGGTCCAAATGAAAACAGTTGTACAGGAGAATAATGAGGGCACTGCAAACACTACACGGAATTCGACTACTAGTAAAATGGAAGTGTTTCATTCAATGACCCGCCGTAAGGTGGTTATCCCAACAACGCTCCGGTTCCACCATTCGAGGTAAGTGATTATCGGGAAATATTTACCGAGACACGAGTCTTCGAGCGGCGAGGTAAATATTCTCCATATTCACTGATATCTGGAATGGCATCTACTTTCATTTTTTTCAATTTCCTCAAAACAATTGCCGGCAGATGCCATTTTGTTGCCGACTCAATATTCCGAGATTCAGAGGTGAATATCGTACAATATCCACCTCCAATTAACCAATGAGCGCGCGCGTTCTTAAGAAGTACACAAGTTGGTATATGCTAATCAATAAAATTCTCATCGTATTACCGCTAGACCATTAACTTTAAAGCATTAAAAGTAGAAAATATTTATTTGCTCATGAAATACAAAGTTTTTTTTGGGTGATTTTAGGTTTTAGTATTCCGTTCCGGATGGGGTTCCAAAATTCACGTTTTAGGCAAACCCCTCCAAATGAAGGTTTCGTTGCTTGCGTACAAGAAACGTTTCTTCCCTGGAATATCACGCCACTGGTGAACTTTGTACCTCATTTGCATAAAACACAGACAATGTTCATCAAAACCCCAAATGTGGTTTTGCTAGGGCTTGGAGAACGATTAGGTAGAAAAACACTAAAAAACTCCAAAAATGCCTAGGGGTCAAAGGGTTAAGACGGTCTGCGAATTATCAGTCCGGGATTCGCTCCAGATCTGGAGAGCGGTGTCACGTCACGTTTCTATTGTTTTCTACTTCGATGTAAACATTGCAGTCACGTGAGCTTCTCGTTGGCRRACGAGTACAGTCAGTACAAGTGAAAACGATATCTCGACTGCTTTTTACGGTTCTAAAGGTTTATTTAAGTGCTGCAAATGAATGGAAGAGCAATTTCTAATTAAATATTCATGTAAATCTAATGTTTTTTTAAAAAAAGGTCCAGTATTTGTCTAAAATAGAGCCAAACTGTAGGTCCCGGTTTTTGCGTGTGCAAAAACGATCTTTCTCTTGTAATTCATTGCCACAAATAGTACAAAATAGCGCCATTCCATCACGCTTCACTGTGGGGTACAGGGGTGAGGAACATTTTGTCGACAATATTGTACCCCCTGTCATCTCAAACATTGGGTTCCCTGTGTTACTCTTCAAGGATTCAATTCTGTGTTGTGCCGCGGCTTTGTGTATTTTGCTGTGTGAAAAATTGTGTAGTGGCGTGACAATTTGTTATTTTGCCGTGAAATATTGTGTAGTGCCGTGACAACTGGTTATTTTGCCGTGAAATATTGTGTAGTGCCGTGACAACNGGTTATTTTGCCGTGAAATATTGTGTAGTGCCGTGACAACTGGTTATTTTGCCGTGAAATATTGTGTAGTGCCGTGACAATTGGTCATTTTGCCGTGAATATTTGTGGTAGTGCCGTGTGAATTTTGATTTGCCGTGACAGTTATGGGCCACCGTACTACCAATCAGAATCAAGTAATTTGCTCCCAGCAGTCGAGCGAAAAGAAACACGAACTGCTAACGCAGAAAGAAGCGGAAGTAAATCGATTACATCCGCAGCTCGTTCCTCTAACGCGATTCCAAGAAAGTGCCAGATCACGTGATAGGGGATTTTTTTCGGTTGATGTCTTATGAAATCGGCGCGAAAGCAGTGCAAGCTGGCTTGAATGTTGATAGTCTAGCAACCGTTACTGCACTTTTGTGAGAAGAAAAACGTTTTTAAGCGTTAAAAGTCCAAACGTGGAAAGGTTTGTTTGCAGGTAAGCAAATCGTATGTGATCGTATCGTATGTGATCGACAGGGACTGTGATGGAACATTGATAAGGAAGTATATGATTACTATACGATCAAGATAAGCGTGCTGACATAATACTAAACATGGCCATTATTGCCTATAATAAGTATCACTTAGGTCTAAAAAGCCCCAGAGATGAACTAAAAGTTGTGGATTTTTTTCGTGTTTTCGAACTATTACAATAAGTGATTTTGAGTGTTAATTAGAATCGCAATCATGTCTCCCAAACTTAGATTTTAACCACCAGTAAATGCGCACTAACACTTGTCTTTACCCAATTTAAAATCTGAAACTTGATCTATCGGTCCTTATATATATAATCAATGTGAATTTTATTTAAATAAACAAGTCGTAATAACGATTGCTCAGTCTGTATTTCACTTATAGAACGAGGCATGTTATGATAACGATCGAAGAATCTGTATTTCACTACTTTTATATAGAACGAGGCATGTCATAGAGTGCTTTTAGTCACACTGTTGAATAGTTAGATAAATGTATCTAACTTTTATAACTATTTAGTTGACGTCACCTTAAATAGTAGAAGCGGGCCAAATAAGGGTCATGCTAATCCGGGGGGTTGTTTTACTAGAGAATGAGTGAATAGACATTCATTTGTATCATTTTTTCTCCCCCTGATCTCAGTAGCTGTTTACTCGTAGTTTCAAATTTAGGTTTCTAATTAATTAGTTGACGTCACCTATTCCACAGTGAGACTAAAAGCACTCTAACAACAACAATAATAATAATAAACATAGAGGGAAGGGAGGCACCAAGAAGGGTGTTACTAACGAGTAACGTAGTAAGGAGTAACGAGTAACGAGTAAACAGAGAAACCAGAAAACGAGTAACATGAATTTTTTTATACATTGAAAAATCTGAAATAAATAATTATGTACAATAATTAATCATATTTTGTATTCTCTGTTGTGTTTTATAAGTTTTGAATTGTTTAAAATACAGTACCAATCTAGTTGGGCTCCCTGTATTAGTAGTCTAGCTTTTTTGCACAAATGCTGTCATTTGTGTCTCGCAAAAAGACTGGAAGAAAGATCGATCAAACGGATGGCTTCAACGAGTGCAATTTATATCTTTGTAGTTGTCTAGAAGAATCGATTACTTTCTCTTAGGTTCTAGTAATTGTAGTGTGATGGAGAATGAGAGTTGTACCTAGTGTTCACCGCATGTTCCAGGGACTCCTTTTAACTTTGATTTATTCGTTTATCTCTCTTTGTCAGAACCAGGTTTTGACTTTGGTTTACAACTGCTATTTCTATAAAACACAATAAAACGCTCTG